GTCCATAGGCTTCAGTAGACTTTCAAAAAGGTAAATGACCCACAAAAATGTTAAGAACCCCTGCTCTAATCAAAAGTGGGAGACCCATTGGACTTTATGCTGTTTCCTGAAGGAGTAAGACCATGTCACTGAGCTGTCATTTCTTTAGAACAAAATTTTAATTACTGAAGAACAGTTTTTCACCACAGAGCACACATAAGCAGCTGGGTGCTATGGTCAATAGAACATTAAACTTTAAGTTGGGAAAACTGAGCTTTAATCCTCCTTCAGACACTTACTAGTTGTGTGACCCTGGGCAATCAATTAACCTTCTCACCCTCAGTTTCCTCATCTATAAAATGGAGATAATAATAGCACATACCTCCCAGAGTTATTGCTATCACTCTCTCTCTCTCTCTCTCTCTCTCTCTCATCACTTTGAAAACACTGAAATGCTTTATCAGTGTGTTAGTTGTCATTGTTATTGGCATTACTGATGTTCTACCTGATATAAATTAGTGAGATTCTGTAAGAGAAGTTCTAGTTTAGTGAAGGCTGGCTAGGAGGGGGGCCATCTGGGATACAAAATATATCTGTACTTGTCACTAGACTATCACTGTACAAGCACTTAGGATTGAACTCTTTCTTCACACACTGTATCTTTATTTCTCTACATTTCTACTGTCCCTTCTTGAAATATTTCCTCAAAAATCCTCTCTCTCTCTCTCTGTCTCACACACACACACACACACCCACATACTCCACTGTCCTGTTCACCCACCCTACATCTCACACAGTATGTATGACACATATCAATTACCCAGAATTTTCTCTTTGAACTACGTATAATGTATGTACCCCATTTGCCTTTCTCCCTTTATTTGGATCCTAAATATTCCTGCTCCTGTCCTCCTTTACTTCAAAGGTTACTGGATACTTCCAGACCAACATTTATTGATTTATGACAATATAGTATTATCAAGGACAAAGTTGTTGTGTGAAGAAACTAGTTTGGGAGATTGCTACTTGAGGGAGGAAATGGTTAGATGCTCCAAGAAGAATATACTTCAGCTGCAACTTTCCATAAATGAAACCAAAGCATAAATATATCATTTTGGTCAGCAGTGAACACTCAAGGGTACAGGGGGATCCTGCAGAAAAGAGATCAAAGGAGACAATATTTTATTGAGTGTAAATGAATCTGAGACAGTTAGATATGAGTTCCTTGAAATTACATAAACAAAGTACAAGAAAACTGCTCTGGCTCAAATATGTTTGACCCAGGGAAACTATGCCAATCATGGGAGAACAGTCTGAGACCCTGAGCCTTAAATACTACTAGCTTTGTGTATCCCTGTTACAGAGCTTGGGGCGGCAGGAATAAGGTGAAATGGAAAACTGTCAAGAATGAGATTTCTTGTTGGCAATAGTCCTCAGAGCTAATTTGACTGTATGTGTATATGCCCAATGTGAACAGGATAATCATTACAAATAGAGACAGCTGGAAGAAATGATAAAACAGGGAACAGATTGACTTTTATTGTACACTTTTGGATGCCCCTGTATTCCCCATACAACATTGTGACTGCATTGTTTCTACAGCAACCACAAAATAAAAAGAAAGGCAGAATGACCTCATGCAACTTGGAAAACATATGCCCAAGATTTCACACTTAAGGGTGCAAAGTGGCATGAAGTATTGACACTATTCTGAAAATCCACAGGTCTACTCCTGAAGGACCTAACGGGGAGCTATTAATGTGAATGGTTTGGACAAATGGATAGTAAATCATAGTGCGACATCATTACACAAGGATTTATATGAATCCTTTTTTTATTATCAATCCCAAAATACATAACAAGTGACTGTGTGAAGCAATGGATACTAAGGGGACATTAAGGGGATATCATACATATCTTCTCAGATACAAGATATGACTGAAAGAAAAAAATGCAAAGATGTCATAATCCAACAAAACTATGAGCTTTCTGGCTTGATATCTAGTATAGTGTTCATTCTCATGCTCCATGTTCCTCTTCACCTATAATGCCCAGGACAATATACCCCACATATTTCTGCATATATAATCCCTTCTTAAACATTCTAGATCATGGCTCTATAAAGGCAATTATCCAAATGGATAAAGCTATAAAGCAGGGGCCTTCTCCTTAGGCTAAGAAGACCAATGTCCTGATGCAAGCCACATAGACATTAGCAATAGGCTTACCTTTATTTTCAACCTCTGAACTTTTGATAGGAGCCAAAGGTCAACAGGTGAGACAACATACAGACTATACAATTTATAAAATTATTACCCCATGAGCCTTCCCACTCATGAGATCTTCTACCCAATTTTGCAAGTTTTAGGGATGAGAATAATTTGAATGATAATGAGCTTCAGTGGGTTAAAAAATTCTCAGCTAAATGCCTTCACATATCACTGACAGATACTGGAAAGCCAGAGTAACTAAAGCCATGCAGTGTCTGTAGCAGACTCACGATTTCCTTTCACAATGTGCTTTTGGAAAATGCATCTGCATAAACAGCAGGAACTGCAGACCTGCCACCTTGTGGGGTGGAAACAATGGAAATAAGTGGTTTTCAGGCACTCTGTGCCAAAACAAAGACTAGAATTGCTTTGCTTTTGACCACTGCTTTTCCTCTTGGCTGCTCAGTTAATAAACTTTATCCTGACCAATCCCTCTCCTGCTTTGAGAAGCTGATACACCAAAGTCATAAGAAATTATTCTTTTTTGAAAAAAAACCAACTTCTTGTTAGCTGCTGACTTTTTGTCCTAAGTAATAAAGGCTGGGCCCGACACACTGGGGTATCCTATTGTTCACTAGATCTGAATTTCCTCCTCCTGGATAAAAATAAAATTGTTAATGAATGGTGAAATGTAACTTAGAGATCATGGTGTAATCACTAGCAGGGAAGTCAAAAGTTCTCTTGTGAACCTTAATTGCTATCACAATATGGGGATGGTAGACAGTGGGCTGTTCTTGGAATTAGGATGACCTGTGTGCAAGTTCTGCTGCTGACATGTCCTAGCTGGCTGACTCTGGGCCAGTCACATGCTCTCTGTGACCAAAGCAATTTAAAACAATGTTAAAGAAGACCTGCTGATTTGTGTGGGTGAAAGCAATTCCACACTGGGAGTTCCTCACAACAATGCTATGACAGATTTGGAAGTGTTAAGTGAAACCAGGCTTTTTGTAAAATATATAATTGTCAGTCTAGGGAATGCGGATTTTTGAATATGATCATGGGAAAGGGTAATGGAGCTTGAAGCTTGACTCTTGTGACTCATCTTTTCCTAGAGGAAATAAGAAAAAGAGGGCTCTTCACTTGTCATAGTTCTTATTTGATTATGAATTTCATGTTATGGGAGTCCATTTTCTAGGGAGTGATGGAATCTCTATCTAGCTATTTTTAAATAACAAACAATGCAGGTTGTGTGATATATGTGATGATGACATGGATGTGTGATATTTGATTTTGGATATATGTGGCAGGGAATGACTTAGCAGTCAAAAGACTTTCAGGCCATTTCTAAATAACCATGCCATCTAACCCTTTATTGACTACTGCATAGGTTTTCTTTTTTAAGCAGATGTTTATCTTAGATATCTGATCTATGCCAATAACTAAAAAAAGAGTGGGAACTGCATTTACAAACCTGACTGGGGACAGACTTTTTAGTGTAGGATAACGAGTCTGTGGAAATTTTTATTAATGGGAGGACTGGTTGTCAATAGATACTTGTGCTCTTGGCTTTCTACCATGGAGAATTCAAAGAAGGGGCAGAGAATAATATTAAATTTACTAGTGTAAGAGGAACTGGCGAAAATTTTCAAGCACTTATTTTTCTGATGCTATTTCATGTGTAAGCTGACACACACAGTGCATTTAAGTTACGAGTGTCCTCCATGCCATCACCACTCCCTTCTTTCCCCACCCAAGGAAAGAGGGGTATATGCGGAGACAGTGAGGGGACACATGAAGAGGCCTGGGTTGAAAGCCTTCCCCTAACTTACCTTCTTTCTACCCATTTGTGACACAGTAATGTGATGAGTATGGAGATAAAGGAATAGGGTATAAGCTGAAATTGGAAGGAAGGACAGTTGAGGAATATAAAGTATGCATAGAAATCAACAGGATCGTATTATGAACAACAGATATGAAAGCTGAGAAGAATAATAGAATATCAATGAAAGGAGAAAGAAGAAATGGGAAGACTGAGTAACGAAGCAATGAAAACTGGCACAGAATTTGAGACTGGAGACTAAACCAAATAAAGTCTCCCTTTTAGTCCTTGTTTTAACAAAAATCCGAATGGAAAGATTTTAAAAGAGTTCCTATGGAACTGAGAAGCTTGTTTTTTCTTGGCTAAGGAACTCTCAAAGGAAAAAAAAAAGGTGAGATAAGCCCTAAACAGGTTCTCCTCTGTAAAGAGCAGAGCTCAGTATTAAGTGCTTTTTGTTATTCTGTCGTGTCTGACTCTATGTGACCCCATTGACTTTTGTCCATGAGATTTTCTTGGCAAAGATACTTTGCCATTTCCTTCTCCAGTGTGCTCCCATTTTACAGATGAGGAACTGAGGCAAATAGGAATTAACTGACTTGCCCAAGGTCACATAGCTAGCAAGTGTCTGAGGCTGGATTTGAACTCAGATCTTTCTGACTTCAAGCTTGGTGCTCTATCTACTGCACCCCTTAGCTGCCCCACAATAAGTTCTAGGACCCATCATAGTTAAAATCTATAAATGATCCTCCACTATCTCTCAAAATCTGTCCAAGCTCATGTTCTTTGTTTCCATGACATTATCTATCTATCTCATCTTCTGCCAGCCCCTTCTCCTTTTGCCTTCAAGGGTCCTACAACTTTTGCTACATGTAAGGTCAAAAGAATATAGTATACAAGATGCTTTTTGAGTTTTTGACACTGTGACCCAAAGTCATCACTATCCAGCACTACTGATAGCATTTTACAATGTAGTCCAAGTATATAGCACTTACCTTGGTTTAGGTCCTTGTATTCCTCATACAGATAATTTAAATCGCTTCCTTATTGGTCTCTTCACCTTTCGTCCATCCTAAACATCAGAGTAATCTTTCTAAAGTACAGATCTAATCTTACTGATTTTTATCAAAAACCTTCAACTGCTCCCCAGTTTTATCCCCAGGATAAAATAAAAATTCCTTAGCATGGCTTTCAAGGCCCTTCAAAATCTGACTCTAACCTCTTTCTGTCCTTATTAACACTCATTATTACCTTTACATACACATTGTAACCAATTTAGACTACTTAAAAAGACAAAAACCTGAGCTCACTTTGCATTTTCCTACCTCCATGACTTTCCCTGTGTGTGTAAGGTAGCTTGCCCTGCTCATCGCCATAGTGTCTAATATGTAGCAGGGTACCCTGCTTCCCTGTGTTCCCCTGCCGTGTGTGTGTGTGTGTGTGTGTGTGTGTGTGTGTGTGTGTGTGTGTGTGTGTGTGTTGGGAGGTAGCCTCCAGTTATTAGCTGTGTAGACAGAACAAACTACATCTTTACAAACTGCCAGACTGGGACAATCTCTCTTCTTCAAGTTCTTTCCTGCTGAGCCTGGAGGGTGAAGATCACACAGTTCACCCACAGCTTGGTGTGTGAACTGCACTGAAAGTGGGGAATACCTTCCCCTTCTTTTGTTCCATCTCCAAGAAATGGACCCAGGTGTGTTTTGTTCTGTGTCATCTGTCTGCAGTTTCAGGTACTGACAGCAATTCCCACCAGACCTGGGAGTCTGAGCCATTTGCAACCCATGGAGGCTGGATTCCAGTTTGGATGTTGTAGTCAGCTAGCTTGGCACGGAAGCCCTGAATGCTAGGCAAAGGTATTTGGATTTCCATTCAAGGGTTTTGAACAAAGGAGTAAGTCCAGAGCTATGCAGAAGAAAGAGTTTTCTGGCAGAAGTATGAATGACAAATTAGAACGTGATAGGAGAGGTGAGAAAACCTGTTAGGAGACTACTCCAACAGTAATCTGTGCAGATGAAGAGAAGGTCTGATATTCTAGAAAGGACACTAAGCTTGGAGTCAGGGGAGACTTGGGTTTGAAGCCTGTTTCTGACACTTTAATACTTTAATCTTGCTGAGCTATGGTTTCTTCATATGCCAGGCTGGGATAATAATATCCAATGTAGCCACCTCACTGGGTTGTTCTTAGAATCAAATGAGATAATGTATATAAAAGCCTTTGTAAACCTTCAAGTGCTATATAAATGTCAGCAGGCACATAGTAAGTGTTTAATAAATGCATGCTGATTTATTTACTGATTATTAAAGGTGGTAGTTGAAGTTGTAGGAGTGGATAAGATTGCCAAAGGATAGAGTATAAAAAAAGAAATAAAGAGGGCCAAGAACAGATTCTTGAGGAACATATATATATATACATATATATATATACACACACACACATATATACACACATATATATACATATATACATACACACACACACACACACACACACACACACACACACATATATATATGTATAGGGTCAGATAACAGGTGAGGCATGTGATAGTACCAGGGTTCCCTTCTTCCCTCAACAGGGATTAATTTTCCCAAAAAAGCATTAAAGCTGGTCCCCAGGACCTGATTAGCTCCAGCCTCCTAGTTATCTAAGGGCATAAAAACCCCACCTACATGGAGTTGGGCCCGCTAACTTGATGAACATCTGAGTTGCCATTCCCTATTGATTAGATGCATTTCCTGGGGGAGGGGATGTGTACTGAAGTGGGGCTGTATCTTTGTTGCATATCCTTGCCTCACACTCACACAGAGAGATGAGCTCATTGAGCTCTGGAGAAGGTGCCTGGGAGGTTAAAGAAAATGCCATATCTCACATTACTTGATTGCTGCAGACCACATCGCAGAATTTGGACTGCCAGCATAACAAAACTGAAAGTGAACTGGCTCAATATATTCAGCAACTAAAGACTGAGATTTTGATTTTTAGAAACCGTGCAACAGAAGCAGAAGGGTTAGTGGCTATGGAAGTGAAGGGATCTTTTCTGATGCAGATGGAGACTGGTTGAAACCAGGAATCCACTGCATTGTCTCTGATCCAGAAGTTCTAGTTCCAGAGGTTCCAGTTCTATTGTATCTTGCTGAGATTGGAACCATGACACAGGAAAATGAGAACAGAAGTGGGGAAGAGATTTGGAAATTCACACCATTGGTTAAAAAAAAAAAGTCCCAGAATTATTTTTGCTCTAGGGAGGAGGGTGCCTGTGACCTCTGTGGGAGCAGGGAGTGAATTGGGAAGGTTGCAGAAGAAGTTCAAACAGAAACATGATGAATCACTGAAGCAATGGCTTCTGAGGTCATGGTCTAATGTAGCCAATGCTGAGATGCTCCTCGAAGCTGAGCTCCACAGGCTTGGGAGCTCTCTGAAGATTTGTTATTACATATAGTTAAACTGATTTGAGCCTCCAGAAGGGGAGCTTTTGTCCCTTTTTTAGATCACCAAGATGGATGCTTATGAGCACTTGGCCCCATAAAGATGAATTCCTATTGTAGTTGCAGCTAGCTACCCAATTAGGATCTGCAAGGAGATCTGAAGCTCCCAAGGAAATGAGATTGAGAGATTGTCTATTTAGCCATCTCACAGCCTACCACACTCTTACCCAGGCTGCCTTAGACATGGTTAGAGACTGCCTTCTGAGTGGAGCCCAATCAGTGGTTTCAGACTTCAGTTATGGGTCTCCCTCCACCAGACAGCTACAGTGGTGTGAGCTAAAGACCTGGTGAAATTTGAGGAGGAAGTTGGGATAGTTGTGGCTTGGATAAATACTGCTATCAGTGTGAAGAGATGTTCTGGTAATGGGGGAGGAGTTATAAACCCTGCTGCCCTACTAGCTGAGCAGAAGGAGTATTATGAATTCTTACTAATCAGTACTTGTGAGAAGCAACTGACCACTTGTTATGAGATCTTATTTATTACTGAACAGATGACTCGTAGTTATACAATCACCCTTTACTTGGTACTACTTATACATTGGGTGATTCACGATGGCTCCTTCAACAAGATGGGTAGAGCATAGGAGGCTACTATTATTAAACGGAAATGGCACATTAAAAATAACACTTGTCTGGGTCCTTCTGGTGTTAATTCCTATCACAAATATGTAGCAACTACAGCAGAGACTGGGATTTCCAGTGCAATTCCTGGAACCCTACCTCCTCTGCTAACCTGAGGAATGCCACTTTTCCTAGTTTACTGATGGTGCCACCTGCTGTGACAGCAGCATATGTAATGGATTTCAGCAGCCACTAATCAGGTAACAGTGATATTTGTTGCCATAACATTAGTAACTTCTTTCCATCATGTTCCAGGCACCTTCTCCAGCCACAATTCCAGAGCAGTCACCTCTCCTAAGCCTGCTCTCATGAGCAGCCATTCCATTAACTTGGTCATTTCCTATGCCCTACTTCTTCACCCCACCACAGCTACAGACAAAGATGGTCATACCTTGATCTTGCCATCACACACAAGTGTTCCATTTCCATTTTCATATTCATGAAATCTGAAATTACTTTATCTGATCATAATCTGTTGTCATCTCACCTCTCCCTCTGCCTTGGAACTCCAGACTCTGTTCTTTGCCCTCACCACATCATCTAATCCTTCTACCCATCAGTTCTATCCCAGGCCAACAACCCTATATTGGCTATGCTTGCTTCCCTTCCTTTTCTTGATTCCTTGGTAAAACAGTTCCAAATACATTATAACTCTTCATCTTATAAACTGGTGGTTAAGGCGGAATAGTCATCTTTAAAATTATGATGGTACAGATAAAGTGAACAAAGATTTGATCTCCAAATGTTAAAATGATTAGGCCAGAATTCCAAACCATCTGGATAAAGTTATGAATGGTAGCTATAAAGCTACTAAGTAATGTTGGAATAATCTGTCCCTTGGGGCTGCTTCTGGCAACTGACCACTAGGCTGGATGGCCATAGGTCTGATATAGTATGGCACTTTCTATATTTTTACCTTGTAACAGTAGAAATGGCAAAAGAGGCAGCAGGAGATGAAAAAGTGGGAAATAGATCTAAAGTTGGAGGATGATGCCAACATATATCTGCATGACATTTTAGCTTCTCAAAACAAGTTCATGACTATTATAATGTTTACAGATGATGAAATTAGGATCTATAAAGTTTTGTTTTGTTTTGTTTTGTTTTTAGCAAGCCTTAGGATATGTGGCTAGTTTGTGGTAGAGCTGAGATGAAAACCTAGCTCCACTGACTTTTAGAATGGTGCTGTTTTCCAATATGCTCAACTACCTCCTCATTATTAGAAATATTAGCTTGAGAAGGAGCCACCATAGAAAATTTCAGCTTTGGTTGCTTTGGAGTCGTGAGGAAGAGTCCTTGAGGCCTGAACAATCCTAGGTTGTATACCCTGGTCCACTGAGTAATAAATAAATATGGATCCAGAACATGTGCTCAAAAGATTAAAATACTTATTAAGTACTTCCTGTATGTAAGGCAGGGTAGCTAGGTGACACAGTAGATAGAATGCTGGGCCTGGAGTTACGAAAATTCCTCTTCCTGAGTTCAAATCTGGCCCCAGACAGTTACTAGCTGTGTGACCCTGGGAGAGTCGCTGTTTACTTCAATTTCCTCATCTGCAAAATGAGCTGGAGAAGGAAATGGCCAACTACTTCAATATCTTTGCCAAGAAAACTCCAAATGGGGTCATGAACAGTTGGATTACTGAAGTGACAACAACAAAGGTACATAAGGCTCTTCTTGAAAACCTTCCTCTGATGCTTCATTATATGGGGATGTGGGGGTGACTGAATTCCTGATTGCTATGCCAAGTCCTACCAGGTTAGGAAAGTATTTCAGTACTAAATGAGCCTCTCTGTATTTTGGTAGGCTGGCCCTTGGATAGCAGACATATAACCTCTCTCTCTCTCTCTCTCTCTCTCTCTCTCTCTCTCTCTCTCTCTCTCTCTCTCTCTCTCTCTCTCTCCCTCTCTCTCTTTATATATATATATATATATATATATATATATATATATATATATATATATA